ATTCCTATTACATGTGTTGGGTGTGGATTCGATGAACAAAGATTCAGTAATTAATCTCTCTCTCCACCTAGCTATATTAGACTTAAGTACAGTGGTTTTGTCCCATCCTATTGTGTGGTTGTGTGTTAATGAATGTAATGCAATGGCTGAGTGTTTTTCTAGGTTATTGATCTTATTGGGGTCTGCCGTTCTATGTTTAGCTAAATTCCTATGTTCTGTTAATCTAACTGACCCCGACCGGCTAGTTTGACCTATGTATTTGACTTCACAGTCATTACATGGAATTTGGTAGATTATATTATTTTGCTTAATTGGTTCTATCGGATCTTTTAGCCGACAAAGCTTACCTCTAAGTGAGTTTGTTGGTTTAAATGCCACCCTAATTCCAACCTTGTTGAGAATCCTACGTATGGTTTCTGATGTTCCTTCCTTGTATGGTATCACAATAGAGGTGTTGATTTCCTTTCTACTTATGTTGTCACTATTATTTGTATTTGTATTAGTGTTATTATTTTGCTTCTTATGCGTCCGTGTGAATTTCTTAATAAAATGATGGGGATAATTATTAATTATTAACGCTTCTTTTATGTGTTTCAATTCCTTATTTAAGTCCTTACAATGACTAGTGAGTTTCTCAGCTCTGTTATTTAGACATTTGACTAAACCCGCTTTAACTGACACTGGATGAGATGACTTGAAGTCTAGATACCTGTTAGAATGTGTTGGTTTTCTGTAGACGGTAGTATCTAAACCACCATCTATCCTTCGTTTTATTCTGCAATCCAACATAGGTAATTCTCCTTGTTCATTTTCTACTTCGTAGTGAATTGGATTGCGTTAACTACTGAGTTTATGTGTGTCAAGAAACTGTCGATATGTTCCGATTTCAACACTGTAAATGTGTCATCTACATATCGCCACCATATCTTAGGTGTCGGATTATATGTTCGTAAAGCCATATCTTCCCAACTATCCATAAATATATCTGCTACTATAGGGGATATTGGTGATCCCATTGCTACTCCTTCTGTTTGTCTATAAATCTTTCCCTGAAACTTGAAGACTGTCGAGGTTAAGCATAACTGCACTCCTAACATGATTTCACCAACCGATGCCTTGGTTCTTTGAGTAAGTTGTGAGTCAGTATCTAGTTGATTTCTGACTGCCTCCAGTGCCATATTGATTGGTATTTTAGTATAAAGACTTGTTACGTCAAAACTAACCATTTTTTCATCCTCTTCTATGTGCAGGTCATTAAGTTTTTGTTTCAACTCGTAAGAATTTACTAGTCTAGAGTTGGAACGGTCTCTAACAGGACGTAATACTGATGCTAAATACTTTGATATCTCATATGTTGGTGTGTTCCGGAAGTCAACTATCGGCCTAATGGGATAACCTGCTTTATGAACCTTAATAGTACCGTAAATTCTGCTAGGATTATTAGTTTTTGGCATTAAAGTAAACCATTCGGACTTACCTAGAGATGGCTTCAGTCGGCGTATCAGATCTGTTGTAGATTTCTTAATTTTATTCATGACAGTATCTATACTATTATCCTTTCGTAGATTGTTTAAAGCTGAATTTTCCAGTTTCGTTAAGTTTCGCTGTGTCTTCTTTTGTTTTTTAAGTGCTAATGCACACTGCGCTCTAACCTGTTCAGCAGTTGTCACATCCACCGAGCTTAATGCTACTTCTATGCTAGGTATGACATCTTCTGGTTTTAGATGATCTACTGTTATGTTGAAGTTTAGTCCTTTTTCAAGTACTTTCATCTCAGCTGAGCTTAAGGCTTTCGAGGAGAGATTGACTACCCACTTTGTTCTATCGATGTTCGATGATGTTTCCTTTGTAATTTCATTGTTTTCCGAAGCATATTTTTCTTGCATTAGTTTATTGAACTAGAAGCAATCAAATCAAAAAGTTCAATAAACTAATGCAAGAAAAATATGCTTCGGAAAACAATGAAATTACAAAGGAAACATCATCGAACATCGATAGAACAAAGTGGGTAGTCAATCTCTCCTCGAAAGCCTTAAGCTCAGCTGAGATGAAAGTACTTGAAAAAGGACTAAACTTCAACATAACAGTAGATCATCTAAAACCAGAAGATGTCATACCTAGCATAGAAGTAGCATTAAGCTCGGTGGATGTGACAACTGCTGAAACAGGTTAGAGCGCAGTGTGCATTAGCACTTAAAAAACAAAAGAAGACACAGCGAAACTTAACGAAACTGGAAAATTCAGCTTTAAACAATCTACGAAAGGATAATAGTATAGATACTGTCATGAATAAAATTAAGAAATCTACAACAGATCTGATACGCCGACTGAAGCCATCTCTAGGTAAGTCCGAATGGTTTACTTTAATGCCAAAAACTAATAATCCTAGCAGAATTTACGGTACTATTAAGGTTCATAAAGCAGGTTATCCCATTAGGCCGATAGTTGACTTCCGAAACACACCAACATATGAGATATCAAAGTATTTAGCATCAGTATTACGTCCTGTTAGAGACCGTTCCAACTCTAGACTAGTAAATTCTTACGAGTTGAAACAAAAACTTAATGACCTGCACATAGAAGAGATGAAAAAATGGTTAGTTTTGACGTAACAAGTCTTTATACTAAAATACCAATCAATATGGCACTGGAGGCAGTCAGAAATCAACTAGATACTGACTCACAACTTACTCAAAGAACCAAGGCATCGGTTGGTGAAATCATGTTAGGAGTGCAGTTATGCTTAACCTCGACAGTCTTCAAGTTTCAGGGAAAGATATAGACAAACAGAAGGAGTAGCAATGGGATCACCAATATCCCCTATAGTAGCAGATATATTTATGGATAGTTGGGAAGATATGGCTTTACGAACATATAATCCGACACCTAAGATATGGTGGCGATATGTAGATGACACATTTACAGTGTTGAAATCGGAACATATCGACAGTTTCTTGACACACATAAACTCAGTAGTTAACGCAATCCAATTCACTACGAAGTAGAAAATGAACAAGGAGAATTACCTATGTTGGATTGCAGAATAAAACGAAGGATAGATGGTGGTTTAGATACTACCGTCTACAGAAAACCAACACATTCTAACAGATATCTAGACTTCAAGTCATCTCATCCAGTGTCAGTTAAAGCGGGTTTAGTCAAATGTCTAAATAACAGAGCTGAGAAACTCACTAGTCATTGTAAGGACTTAAATAAGGAATTGAAACACATAAAAGAAGCGTTAATAATTAATAATTATCCCCATCATTTTATTAAGAAATTCACACGGACGCATAAGAAGCAAAATAATAACACTAATACAAATACAAATAATAGTGACAACATAAGTAGAAAGGAAATCAACACCTCCATTGTGATACCATACAAGGAAGGAACATCAGAAACCATACGTAGGATTCTCAACAAGGTTGGAATTAGGGTGGCATTTAAACCAACAAACTCACTTAGAGGTAAGCTTTGTCGGCTAAAAGATCCGATAGAACCAATTAAGCAAAATAATATAATCTACCAAATTCCATGTAATGACTGTGAAGTCAAATACATAGGTCAAACTAGCCGGTCGGGGTCAGTTAGATTAACAGAACATAGGAATTTAGCTAAACATAGAACGGCAGACCCCAATAAGATCAATAACCTAGAAAAACACTCAGCCATTGCATTACATTCGTTAACACACAACCACACAATAGGATGGGACAAAACCACTGTACTTAAGTCTAATATAGCTAGGTGGAGAGAGAGATTAATTACTGAATCTTTGTTCATCGAATCCACACCCAACACATGTAATAGGAATGACGCAACACCTATACCAGAGATATGGAAAACTTTACTACCAATCAAAAAACAAAAAAACAAAGAGAGATCAGGTGACAGGACTATAAAATCAGATGTCGAAAGAAGTGTGATTACATTGATATGATTATGAGCAATAATTTATGCTCGAAACGTAATCAATTAAATAATACTGTATCACTGTGCGCTTTATATCAAATAAACAAATCTAATATGGAACTACATTCTACCACAGTGCCCAAGTTTTTCGCTTATATTACTGATGATTTAGCATTTGACACCTCGGAGTTTGTGCGTATACTGCATTAAGGAGCTGTATACTAGGATGAAATAACTGTCCATTCCCCTTAGGTTTTCGATAGTTCTTCACTTGATATCAGTCAATGATCAATACTACGTTGGAGTCAATTCTTGTTAAAATATTACATACTGAGAATTCTCAACGGGAATACAATGATTATTATTCATCGTATGAAGGGATTTTTACTTGTGTAATCCCGGCGTAGTATATTAGAACAAATAACAAACAAACAAATATTTTATATTATTCCTCAACGTTTCGATCTTGCTAGGAAGATCCAGATATTAAGTTTTCGGGTTTTGGCCCAAGTGGCCTTTACGACCATCCAATTACATCGTGATATGGAACCAAGATCAATGTAATGCTGGTGAGTGAATAGACAAGATCGAAACGTTGAAGAATAATACAAGATATTTGTTTATTTTTTGTTTGTTCTAATATACTATGCCGGGATTACACAAGTAAAAATATACCTTATACGATGAATCATACTAACTTGGTGCCCAAGTTATTCAAACCATTCAGTCCATTGTCGGTCAGGATACGTTCAAAATTTTTATTATTCTTATTATTAATCATGTCAGTCAAAATCATTTTAGTTATTTCTGCGAACCCACACCTCTACTGTTCCCCTAAACTTTGAACATTTTTTTGAATTCTAGATAGTTCTTTAGTAGAAAAGTATCACTGAAACCTCCAACAATATAGTTCTAACAAATTGTTGCAGCTTAAAACACTGACATAGATCTATTCCACCGGTTGTCACTTAGATTGTAGCTTAGTAGTTTTTGCTGCAAAACAAGTTTCATTACTTTCATAATAAAATATATACACACATTAATTGGCTTTCTTTCTTATTTTTTCTGTTTACTACAACAAAAAGAACACCAGTATGAATCAACCAAAGCCATTCCCTTTAATGCATAGTAGAAACTGTAATTTGCATAGCGTTTCACTTCTGCATGATCGAAAAGTTCAAACGTACAAACAGCATCTTGAATGTTCAACTCAAACTGAATACGAACATGACGTTTTATCTCACATACCATCGTTTGATAGTAGAGTGTATTTAAATGATAAGCCACATGAAATAAAGAAAATGACTACTGTCAGCATACTTGGTCAGCCAGTTTCACCATATTGCATCTTAGTAAGTTACTTGTTTAAATCTTTACCTTTAGCGAGTGAGTAAAATACAGTCACGATTTAAATTTACTACAAGTTGATAACAGTTAGAGTTATTAAAAAGAGATCAGGCATTGTAGAAGACTTTTTTTACTGTTATTCTGGAAATCAGCTCTAGTATACACTACAATTCAAACTTTTATTCTCTGAATCCAGACGGCGCCAAAAAATTATCTTAGAGAAGAATCAGTCGTTCATATTTTTACACAACTTGTCAGGCAATTCTTTGTCCAAGAACTGAACTGGTTCGTCTTAAATGATGCAAAATTAGATTGATATACATTAAAGAGTAATTCTTAGCAGATGACACTACTCGTTGAGCGCATTCTCCGAACTAACTGTAACCACACTTTTGTTTAATTTATTCACACTCCTAAAATGTAAAGGTATCGAGAATTTTTTTCTCAATAAACTCATGTGTATAACCGACAATAGTCAATATACAATTAGTAAGATCCCACTTATACATCTACAATTAAAAAAAAGACTTAAAGCGATTATTCCCTTTACACTGTCTCTTGTTTCTGAAGTGTTGAGTGAAAATTCGATGTAAAAAATGTTTATTTATCAAATTTGTCTTAAGGTGTGCCTAATAACTGATACATAGTGTTATCATGTAAAGCTAACAAGAGATAGAGAAGCTGACTGACCCATTACATCTTTATGGGTCGATACGGAAAATGTGTACAAATAAGAAAATAAATGAAGGGTTCAGTAGCCTAGGGGATGAATGTTTTATTAATAGATGGAAGAAGTGCGGAAAAATAAAGGTAGATAATATAGTCTGGCTGCTGAGCAAATTTCTTCCAGTATCTTTGTATTTAGATTTAACCTTTCACTCTTCATAAAACTAAAACAGCAAATTGTAAAGTAGGCAAGATTCAAAATTGGACAAGACTTCTTCAATGGACTACCATCATCTCCGAAGCATCTCTTGCTTCTAAGGTTTCAATTGGTCGACCAATTAATGGGAAGTTAGTTAATACACTATCTCATGTGGTTACAGGGGAACTAACTCCCACTCATTGAGTAGTTTCATTACACTTTTTTCAGTCATAATCACTTCCAGTATTACATTTGAGATTTAATTGTGCTTTCAAATAATCTCTTGCATGGTCTTGTGGTCTGTTGTTATTTTATTCATATCACTTGTTACACCTGACATGATCCTCTTTTGTGTTGTCAGTTAACTTTAATTTCCCTCCATCTTTCGAAGATAATTTCATCGAATGGAATTCGTTATTGTATCTGTTGTGCCCAACTTATGATTGTCGATTCAAGTATGGAAATCACTAATTGTAGATTAAACTGTCGATTATGAATTAGATTGAACTGTCAGGTTGATAAGCTGAAAGTTTTTGTTTCGATTTATACTGAGACATAGGCTTTTTATGAATTTCTACTCTACTTCATAATGGTAACGAAGTTTATTTGAGTCCAAGATACCAAAATTTTCTAGATTGCATAATTTTCTATCGTTGCATTCCTTTTCATTGTCATCATATTTTATATTTCAAAAAAAATGAATACTGTATAAAAATATGGAAACCAGAAGTATATATTTGTTATTAGTGTCAGACGGTTGTATAAAGATGGTGACTCGAATGTCAAAGGTTGTGCCGAAGTGCTTTTCTCTGGATGCTTTATCAACTACTCATAAATTATTAAGTAACAAGTCTTAGTTGCAAGTAATTTGTGAAAAATTTTTCGGGACAATGAGAAGCCATGCACTGATGGATCTGCTTTTCGCATAGTAATGATTCGGTAAGCCTTAAATTTCGGTTGAATAAAAGTATTTGAAAAAATATACAGTTCTATTACTTTACTAGTGAATGCTTTGCTTTTGCTGCATACCTGGAATTGCACATATCCCATAATTTCAAATATTCTGTAGAGATTGTGGATAGAGTAACTGATGTTTCAATAAAATAGTATATTTCAAACAGTTTGTTTTTGCGCTATGCTCTAATCCATGGACCATTGTACACGTAACGAACCTATGCAAATGTATGAATATATCGTTAGGCATGAATAAAACTATTTCAATAAAACATGTACTGATGTACACGTGCACTAGCGAGATCACCTAGTCCCCCTTACGGTTGAAAAGATTAGGTTAAAGTAGTATCATGATATTAGTTGCTGTTTATTGGCCAATTCATGTAAACCGTACTATATTGGATGTAGGCCTGAAATCGGCAAAGGTTTGATGAAAATATAAGGTAATACTGCGCTTCTGTCGGCAGGTGACTGGCATCGATTACTTTTTCTTTCTTTCTTGCTAACAGTATTACACTAATCCGAATGTGAATATATGGCAAAAAGAGAATTTGGATGTTGCACCAATTCAACCTTCTGCATTATGTTTTACTCACACAAAAGAACCAATGAAGTCATGTTCTTGTGAAACAGAAGGTGAACAAATATATCAGAGAATTCATCAGCCACTTGTACGTCAGGCTATACAGTGTGATGTGTTTTGAAATAAAAATTTCTTTATTATGTGGATTATGCGTTAAAAAACCCATATACTGACTGCATACAGTTCATTGGTAGGTGATTCGAAAAATGATTGCCAATGTATTTGAAGGAACCGGTTCTCAATGTAAATGATCGAAAATATTATCTGCCTCTTAACAAGTGTAATAACCTACTTATATGAATGATTTGGAAGTGTTCAAACTTTATTTAGGCAAATGATTCGACTCGTCCTATTTGGGACTCGTCAGCTGGATGTACCTGCACCCCAGTGATGTTGTTCCCACTGAGACTCGAACCTCGTACCCTTCGCTTCAAACGCCAAGGCGTTATCCATCATGCCACGTAGGAACGATAGCCACATCTTATACAACGGGTAGTAATTATTACTATTTATTGACATACTTGCTGTTCTTCGTTGTTTTGTTGGATCGAATTGTTCGACCTCTGTTGGCATATGGGCTCCTATATGGATGCCTCGATATTGCCTGAATGCTAATTATGATAATTTGGTTGGTTGTGGCCAGCAGAAGAATCCAGGATGCGTTAGCCAAAACCAACCAAATTATCATAATTAACATTCAGGCAATATCGAGGCATCCATGTAGGAGCCCATATGCCAATAGAGGTTGGACAATTCGATCCAACAAAAGAAGGGAGAATAAATATGTCAATAAATAGTAATAAATGATTCGACTATTAATAAGAGATAACAAACGTGACAGTAATGTTGTCCTGCTATGTTTATTTCTATTCGACAACATCTGAAATGATAAACATAGTCTTGATGGCTTCGCCTTCGCTTAGCGTCGTCATTAGGACTGGTAGTCTTCATGTAATAATTATTTATCGGTTAGCGTTGAACATGGATTACTGACAGTAGCTCACAGTGATTCTCACTAGGCATTGTTCATTACGTGTGAACTAAATCTCACTTACTAATGCAATCGTATCTACTCAATTGAATTAAAAAGCTGAGGAGAGATAATCAAAGGGTAATTGTGACACAAAACGATGATTTTTATTGAACAAAAATATCCTAACACCAGCGACATAGTATGTATTTCCTATGGAGATTGATTTTCTTTGCTTATGATCCATGCCATTCAAAAAAATTAAAATGATAACAACGTTGTATCAGCATTTTATCTCCCAGACACGTGTTATTTATACGTATGTGCATGACATTTTGATATGTGAAACCTTTTTTGTCTCATTATTTTCAACGCATTGTTAGTTGTCCTCCAGTAAATAACTTGATTTGAACAACCAAAACGCGTTCGTTACTATTTCCTAAGGATATTTTAGATTTAACTAATGACATTATTTCACGTGGTTTGTACGTCTTGTTGAAATATACACTAGACTTTTGTTTGACGAGTGACAAGTCTGTGCACCATCGTGACTATATATGTATGCTTATATGTGTTTACATCACCATTACCATTTTAAATATCATAAGGGTGCCTGCGTTATATGCCGAAATATAATAAATTTGTTAGTCTGCTCAGCACATTATGCTTTTATTCTTTTCAAAGTTAACTTCGAACTTAAATTTAGAATGTGTTACGCACTTCGCTCATTAAAAAAGGACCTTGATCATAGTGCCCAGTCTTCATCAACAATACCCAAATTCCTTTGATGAGATTTTCAATATGGCTAACAGTTTGATTTAAAATTGTGGTGCATTATATTTGGTGTTTGGTCGTTCGGCATTATCGACAGCAAGCATATGGTATTGATAGACTACTTATTTCAGTAATATCAAATACTTTCGATGTTAATGATGGATAGTAGCTAGTAGTAGAATCCAGGACACATGTTTCGTTTCTATTTTACACTCACCAGCTGGATTGAGCGGCCTCTTAGTAAGTAATATCTCCAGTGAGACTCGAACCCAGCACCCATCGCTTCACACGTCGTATTGTTATCCACTAAGCTACTGAATCCACTCATTGTGCGACGAGTATATTTCGATGTTATGACTTGTTGTTTCCCGTCCTTGATTCGACCGTATCGACTGACCATAATCATTTGGGAACATCATTCACGAGGAGGTAGGTACATCCACCTGAGAAGTTCGAAATAGGAGGAAATATGCGTCATGGATTCCACTGCTAGCCACTACCCATTATTAGTATCAAACTTAAATCATCGGCAGTATCGAGGCATCTGCATAGGAGCCTATATATTCAATAGTGGTTGACTGGTTCGGTCTAATTAACGAAACAAAACTATGCATTATAACGTCATTGGATACTTTCATCCAGTTTTCATATTTGTCTTTAGATATTTAACTCAGGTAAATGGTAAACATGAATAGTGTCAGCATTTTTCAATTAACACATTTTAGATAATGAGCTTTATTTCATTAAGCTGTTTAACACGGTGATCCGAGGTATACTACTTAAAGTAATTATCATTGGATTTAATTATTCGATCTCAGGTAACTCTTCCATGTGGTAATTTGTGCAATATATGATACGTATAGAGATTAGTAGTCTGAATTAAATTTCACGTTTAATGCGTGTGAAGCTGAAGATATTACCTTGTGATCACAAAACTTCTGTTGTAAGAACAAATACCGGGCCGATCAGGTGGTTTCCTTGCGTACTCGGAATGTTCAGACTAATTCTAATAGAGATTCGCAAGTTATACTCCTTCAAATAATATTTTTAAGATGATTTGATGTATTGGAGTCGTGATGTCCTTTTGGATCTTCAGTAAGTATAATTGTGACTTATGGGACTAATCCGGTGGAAAGCTGTTACAGATGCTCCCGGACAATATCGAATGATTGTCAGTGTATGTCAAAGATAGCTGATACTGTTGATCTTATTTTGCACTTGTATGATTTAGTAACTTTCATTCATCTGCCATTGTGAAAGTGACCACGCTGTTTCACATGAGATTTAAAAATTAACACCGTGGATTTTCGATTTGATGTTTCATCAGTGTTGTATTGATGACTAGACTTAAAAGCAGTCAGTCATTCTCAATTTTTCCGTTCTATATTGTGATGAAGTAAATGGTCAGTGCTCACTGTTTCAGATGGATAAGCATTTTCAAATATCAAATCCAACTGTAAATATCACTGTTGTTCCATCACTAGTGTAGTCCGTCTCAAGCTCGTTGAGATTTGAAGAAATTGTACACAGAAAATACACTTCCACATAGTTAAATCTTAGTTAATTAATCCATGTATACAGTGGTTCATCATCTCTTTAGATAGCATATTTACTAAATGCTTTTCTTTTGTTTTCATAATTATAAATATCTAATGACTAAAGTCTTCAACTGAAAGAACAAATCAAAGGGCTTATTCATCCTCGAAACTACAAAACGAAATGAATCCCATAACAACTAGTTTGCCAACTCTACGATCTCTAATTGAAGAAATGAAAGTTAGTTTTCGATTCATCTGTTGCTTAAATTTATTCTCTATATGAGTGACTGCCTTTTACTTTCTTCACTTGATGAATTAAGGCGTCTGGTGAAATTATCCTTAGACATTGAAAAACAGTAGTAAATCCTCATACATAGTATCTTTCCGGACGTTTGAAGTTTTTTCGATACGAATATGGAGATTTGTCGGTTAGGGTTCACTTTCCAACCTAAACCGGTAGTTAGAGACTAGGCAATATGGCTTAGAATCAGCCTCAGTGAGGATCAACACATTATTTTAATTCTAATCATCATATTGGATTCGATTATTATTTTATATCGATTTCCTCTTTTCCGATAAAAAATTTCAGTTGAAATTTCTTTCTTGTTTATCTCTTTCATCCTGCTGTGTTGATATGAAGTGTGGCGAATTAAACTGTTACACAGTAATGTTAGGAGTCTTGTTGATACCTGATCCTCATTTCATTTGTTGAAGTAAAATCCTTTATCTGGACTTTGTGTCTCCTGAAGCTCATCACTAAGGCACAAAAGAAACTTTTAGGCAGTGAAAACTTTATCAAATATTCAATCAATCACCATTGAAGCCAAAGAAGTTATCATCATTCTGTTTAAACTGAAAGTAAGAAGTTGAAAATTGTGCCGTGTAGAAAAATTCTCTGACGAGTTGTAATTAATTTAGTTCTTGGTTTCCAAGCAGTCAATGAGGATTATGATCGACGAATGCAATATTAAAGAAAAGCCAGATGATATAGGATGACTTTGTATCCTATTCACGGTTCGAGTTCCGAAATTCACGAGGTCATGAAGTTGCAGCGACTGTTGTAACTGGGACACGTTGTATGCATCGTCAGCTATCGTTTATTCTGAGTGATTAATATGAATGTGGTTATTTATTAGTAAATATCTTGTCAGTTTGCTAGCTGAATGGATTATAATAATAACACACCATACGATAAACACTGGACTGTCATAAGTATTCTTAATCTCATAGTACCAACACTGACTGTAATTTACAAGTAATAAAATGAAAAGTATGCCCGTCACATAAGTAGCGACTATCGTGACTCTGTGGCCTAGAGGATTTAAAGCGATCAGTCCTAGGTTTTAGTAATAGTGGGAAGAGGAACAACATTGCTCACTGGGAAGCAGGTGAGTCCGGCTGATGAGTCCCGAATAGTACGAAACGTGCCCTCTGGGTTACACCGCTAGCCATCATTAACATTAATATTAATAACTGCCTAATATGCACAATAAGACAGTAGTTATGCACTTACATACAGAAGCATATATCTCTATGTTTAGTAAGAAAGCAGGTGGGTGCGTAAAATTACTCTAGCCTAAAGTATATATTCTTAGTACCGCAAAAGTCACTGTTCGAATGGAGATTTAAAAGTTAAGATTTTTCTTGCCTTCAGGACAGTTTTGCTGACTTTTTCTGCCTGTTAATTAGCTATTCATATAAAAAAGTGAAAACATAAAAATATCTACTCACTTGCGTCGAAAATCCAACAATCGTAAAACGTAACAATGATGATTTAAGAGGCAGAAGTAGGTTGAAAAGAAGTCGAAGGTAGCCGAAGCAAGGCAACAATAAAATTCATTAAGTAATTAGCCATTTATTTTTGGAGTAAAATGCCTGAATGGGTCTACAAGACGCTGGGAATCAATAAAACTCTTCACAACATGATTCGAAACCGCAAATCTACTCCCTTTCTAACCTCCTGAAGATCGTATCTTATCGCCCATTGGCAATTGTTCCTTCTTTCCTGTTGTTTATTATACTATCTTTTATTCTAGCTGAAGGTTATCGATTAGACGGAAGAACGGTGATTGATAAAATATCATGTACTGGTTTTCATATTGGATTTCTTTATTCGATTTATAACACACAGTGATCTAGTAAATAATACTAGATCACTGTGTGTTATAAATCAAATAAACATATCTAATATGGAATTAAATTCTACCTTAGTGCCCAAGTTTTACACCTATATTATCGTGTGCTAGAAGAAAGCAAACTTTCAGTGTTTCATTACACTTAGTGTTACTGACACAGATATCCATATATCTCTAAATGATAACAAGTCAAATCCTCATTGTGAGTATTCATCACATGTTTTGTCATACTTATTCTATTTCCCATATAAATTTCAGTTCGGTAAAGATATTCTTTGTTTGGATAATCATTGTTTCACACTTTATTGGAGGCTACATTCATTTAATATCTGTTCATTCTTTAACCACCTCAACTTAATATACTTACTGGAGTAAGAGTAGTGTGAAATAAGCCTCAAAATTGTCAGATAAACATGTAGCAGATTATCAACTATTGGTCTTAACTATGTGATATAGTGTAGGCTTCCTAACCAGTATCCGTGAAATATTTAGGAAGAGTGAAATTAATGTATTCACTACTTGTCCTCTCTAAATCCTGACTGCATTATCATCATTATTATTTCCTTTCAATTCTGTTAAAGATTTCCTTCTCCTTGTTGTTGATTTCCTTTCTACCTGCTGTTTAAAGTTGTGACATTTTGAAATGTCATACTGTTGTGCAAGGCTTCGTCTCTGTGGCAGTATTTTGACCAGTGTTAAGTCGATTAAACTTTGACTGTGTTCACTTGCATGGTGATAGTTATTTTGCTTTTAATTTACTCTCTATATATATATTAACCTTAATAAGTCAAAAGTTTCGTCTTTGTCAGTATACAAAATACTTAATTGGTAATTTTCATCACTCCGTGACAACGTGTGAGAAATTTCTTCTGAGTTGTCTAGTCTCCCATCACACTGAATGAAATTATCACAAAAATAAGTCTTTCTGAGTTCTGGTTTACATAATATCTTTAGTAATTCTGTCGAGTATATTTGACAACTGGTATCAGTACGACTTAGTCAACAAATAACAAAAATGTACCCAATATTATAATGTAGTGAAATAATTCATATTCTTATGCATTTTCCATCATACGCTAAACTTTAAAAAAGAACCATATTTCGCTTTTATCAATCATCTCTATTATAGATTCTCAAAGAGTCTCAATCACATTATGATGAACCATTTGTTGGACAAAATGAACAAATTTCATCTTTAATAAGAGCAATTCAAAGTGAACTTTCAGCTCTAACCGTCAAAAACAAACACTCATCTTCAAAAAGTATGAAATCTGTTCAACCTACCACATTTTGGTCACAATCAAGAACGCCTTTTACACATGAAAATAAAATGACAACAAAACATCTCAGAAAACTTGCCTCACCAAAGCATAGGCCTCCTCCACCGGGAAAAATGGTTCCCAAGGGTAAGAAAAATTGCATATATATATATATATATATATATATATATATATATATCAGTTTGGTCCAGTTTTTCGTGCAACCCGGTTAGATATCAACATGCATCAGTGAATTACCACTCATTTGAACGGTTTATGTAGAGTTGATTTGTTTTAAGACGGATGCTTTTATTGACTAACGTAATCTTTATGCAGTCGAAACCTTCCCATGTCTTGCAGTTGCTTGGGTCCAGTGTCAATTACTTCATGATGCATCATCAAAACCACTCAGTATCATTTGTGGACAGTTGTTGTCATTCTTACTTGTGGACCCGTTCATTAGTTGTCTATGACATCTTCGGCTGGTCGACTCTTACTAAGACGAAGAGCGTGTTTTAAGTTAGTCGGAAAACTATTATCCCCTGGGGGTGTATTACATGACCTCCAAATTACCAGCCCAGTGTTTGTCATAGGAAGCAACTGTCTCTTGGAGTGTTGAACTGGTAGTTCATAGGTAAACAATTTAAAATATTTTATATATAGCTCATAAAATGGGATTATGTTAAAAGGTGTTTAAATGGCCTAGTGTTTACCATCTTCAATTCATATTCACAAGAAATGAAGTATATGTTTACACCGATTGGTCTCTGGAAAGCAACCAATTTTCTGTTGTCTAGTCCTGATTGCTGATCGAACTCTATCAATCATTTTTTAGTGTGGCCACAAAGCTAGGAGGCTCACCATCGAGGTACACTTGACGGATCTCAGTTGGTTGCAGGCGATCAACAGGAAGCTTTGGACCTAAGTTTCGGGTTTATTGGCACTCGTCACCAATGCGTCACTGGCTGTGTAACACACATGATGCAGATTCGAATCTCAGACAGCACATCACGTTCGTCTAGGTTGGAGATACACCTTGCTAACGAGTGCCAAAACCTAGGTGCAAGACATCCTACCCCATCGCCTCCAGCCAATTAACAAACTGTATGTTTCTTAATCGAAATGTCATTGGACGGCTGAGCATAACTTATTGCATGTAACTGGTTAACCTCTTGTGTATGTGTAATCTCAGACGAGGTTGATTACAATTAATGTGGTGTAGGATTCATACTATCAAGTGAGTTGAGTATTCATGTTTAAAACGAATACTCACTTTTATAACGTTTGAATAGTGTATTTAAGGGATGAATTTGATCTGAAAAAATATGACTTATTTGAGCAAAAAGACACTTTACTCACGACATTTGTGGACATCTCTTTGGTGTTTGTCCAGTATCTGATCCGAAACTAAAGAATATCACACTGCATTCTAGATGTTCGTCTTGTATATATATTTTCCACCGTTCCTGTGGAAAAAAATTAGACTAGTACGTCTTTGGATACGATAGCATTTGCTGACTTTGTTCAGAAAAAATGAAGTTGAATCAATAAAACGTTCTCTTTTAGCTCACCTGGTAGAGATAGGGTATCACAGAGATGCTAATACAGCTTTGCTGTGATAAACCATGTTCCGAAAACATTATTGGTTGGAGTTTGCCAACGCCTTCTCCACACAACTGTAGCTATAGCAATAAGATTGACCAAACTTAAACTCTGCATTCAGAAGGAACATATTCGAACTACTCCCCTCAGTCTTGGTTGCTATGTTATATTTTTTATTATTCTTCCTTTCATCATCACATTGTACGTAAAATGTCATTTAACATACGAATCTTTCGAAAAATCAATCTAATTACAATCCCTAATTCATATCCCATTTTAAAAAATACGCCTACCTGCAAAATCTTCCTGTTTTTCTGTTGAACAATTCCATTTTATATTTGTCGAAACTGATAAGCATTTTAGTATAATTGCTTGTATTATACCATCGTTGATTGGACCGAATTGATAGGTCTCTGTTGGCATATGGACTCCTGTGCGGATTCCTCAATATTACCTGTGTTCTAATTATAGTAATGATGGATAGTGGCTAGCAGTGGAATCCAGGATGCATATTTCGTCACTATCCATCATTACTATGATAAGCATTTATTGAAAATAATATTCCTCATTCAAATTATCTTTTATTTAGTACACTTCAAACAATCTGACCAGACATTTATATGGAAATAGATTCCAATGTATCTATACAGTATTAGCTAAAAAGTATACAGAAAATGACTGTCTACTACATTTTGTATACCGCTTCACAAGTCAGTTAAAACAAAAGCATACTGTGTATTCTATTCTGTAAAAAGCGTCCATATGATGCTGTCATGAAGAGGGAAGTCAAATCGCCTAGTTTGAAATGAACATTCGAGTCTTTGTCTGATCAACAAAATCTACTGTGCAAACGGGTTTTTAATAATTGTTACAACAAAGCTAAACACTATAAATAATTGTGCAACACTTCATTGTGCTTACCCCCTCGAATGTGTGGTTGTATGAGTGCACATACAGCGAGGGGTAATCATGCTACACACTTGAAGGTGGTGGGGCTTGTACGTAAATGGCTGGGTGGCTAACACACCAGTTTCTACCAATGTAGGTAGGCGACATACAACCATCGTCATCCATAAATAGCCGAACATGTTACAGGAATGTGTGTGGTGTCGAAAGCTCTTTCAGAAGTTGACACAGAAACTATGAGGGATGCATACTTGGATTTGCTGAAAACTGACCACACGCAAATTTAGCTCCTAGTTTGTGCATCACTAATCAAGTTTTATTGCATTAAACCTATCCTCTTGGTTTAAATCCTACTTTGGTGTTGTTTGGTGTCACAACTTATTACTCCTTATTCTTATTTTGGCGACCCTTGTATCATTGTTTTATTCAACTTTTGTCTATTTTTATTTCTCATATGGAACGCTTTGACAAATAACTATCTTATCATGATAGATTTCAAAAATACATCACAGTTCTCAAATTAACCTAATTCTCTGATTGCATTATTCATAATCCGCCGGGTTCCGGAAGACGGACACACTTACCCACGCTTGACAGTGACTGTATTTCTTGGCCTGAGAGCGGCATTCGACTCCGTTGATCGACAAATCTTATGACAGTTTCTCTCACTGAAAGAGGTACCGAGCCAGTACATCATCCTATTGACGGCTCTGTAATCGAACATCTGTGGACATGTTAGAGCCCATAATAAGTTGTCGGGTGAGCTGATATATCGATGGTCGATTAAGGAGTGAGTATACTGCACTACCATTCGCTACCTTCGACTGTATAGCTGTGATGCATGACCGATTGAGATAGGGGATATGAGAAGGCATCTGATGTTCGACTACCGGTGCCTTCATAGCATAGGTTGTGCATCTTGGTATCATCACGTCAGTAATATAGAAGTTAGGTGTCGAGTCTTAGGGCGGAAAAGAATGTCAGTTGACGAGGTTGTGAACCTTGATCGGCTCAAGTGGCTATGACATACGTTACGCATGCCTAGTCACTATCTACCTCATCGAACAATGTTAGCTGAAGTGGGTTTCGGCTGGAAAAAGGTTAGGAGTGGTCAAACTCAAAGATGGCATCATGGCATGAAGTCCTTGAGCATTGGTCTGAGTCATATAGGGATCCATGTGACAATGTAAACCAGTGGTTAGGGTCTGTGGGTGATATGGTTCAGAATCGATATCATTAACACAAATGTATCCACACATTATCCTCATCGTAATTATTATACTGAATTCAGCATTTACTCATTCCTCCTTCCTATCTCCTACTGCTATAATTGAAGATAACTTTGAACCATCAGTAGACCCTAAATAACAATCTGATTGTGATAGATCAACTGAATTAAAATAGAACATAACTATATTTAGTGTTGCCGCTTGTATCATCGCGTCTTTGACTCGGTGGTCTAGTGGATGACGCCCTGGCGTATAAACCGATCGGTACCGAGTTAGGCACATTCATCCGATGAGTCCTGAACAGGACGAGACGTGCGTCCTGGATTCCATTGCTAGCCACTATCCACTAGTATTACATAAATATATCTGTTGAGAAAGGATCTAGGGTTTTCTACAGCCAATAACTAACAGTTGTTTTGAGCAATTAAAAAAAATACATATTTTTGCCTCCTAACAGAATTAAAATATTCCTGTTGCAGGTCACTAAAACAACCTTTCTTTTGACTCTAATTATAGGCTAGTGGATGAGAGATAGAAAATATTGCACCAGCCTAGTTCAAAGATAAGTTGTTTGCACTGATTATAAGATGCAAGTTTGTTTTCAGCTTTCGCAAAGTGTAACGATCTATACGTCAGTGGTGCGGTCGCATGTGTCCTGTAATGAATCACAATCGATAGATATATTATGTATTCTTCAGGCGATCAAAATGTTGGTTTTTATGGCGACGAATGAAGTGTGAAACTAGACTTTCATTTGTACTGAAACACAATTTCTGATTTAGTTGAAGGTTTGTAGAGACTTATTGATTTCAAAGTAGTATTCATCAAGAACTGAAATCAGTTAATAGTTCCCCAACTGATGTCGGTTCATGATGAATACTGCTTTGAAATCAATAACTCTCCGCAAACCTCCATATATATATATATATATATATATATATATATATATATATATATATATATATATATATCTTATTTCGATTTTTTAGATCGAGGATGGTTACGCTCAACCCCAGTGTATCGTGGACCAACACAAAGTTCTTTAGTGCCGAAACTGACGTTAACTCATTTTTTGCGTGTACAAAAAAATAAACCATCTATAGTTCATTGTTTAACTTCGTCAGCTAAAGAATGCAAAGTTCCTCTTCATAGAACTGCCCATTCAGAACGTAAGAGTCTTGCCGGTAACAAGGATGTACATGTTAATGAAACTCCTCTGAAGAAACTTGAACTGGAAAGTATTGAAAAAGCTCAGTCTAACCATTCCGAGGTATGTTTTTAAAATACTAAATAAACATTATAAGCAGATGTTTCACGATTTATTTTCTTTAATTCTATAATTTATAAAACTATTTTATTTATTCCTCAAGTTAACGAGAATTGGTTAATTTGAAAATCACTCTGACCATCTACTGACATCACTGAGAATTAGGGAGCATTTTACAACTGTGCTTTTTTTAGAATCCTCAACAGTGCTCGCTTACTCGAATTCCTACACCGTTAACATCAGACCCTTCAGTCGTCATGGAGATTATGTTTCTATTGGGCTACTAGACTACAGACGAAAATTGTTCATACCATCCGATTTCATTAGGGAGTGGGAATGGATTTCCAATTAAGTTACGTAATAGCTGAGTCGTATTATGAATTCGATAAAGCTGGCTACTGAACTCCGACCTATTAACCGAGTGGTAAAATGCTCGCCACAAAAAATGAATGTAAAAACACTCGATCTATAGTTCGGTGAAAGTTTCTTGTGTTAATGATGCCCAATCTAGAGTGATTTAGAGATTAAAAGTAACTTGTACCAATAAGCTTACAAGTTCCTTGATCTTAAGGCGGTAGTTCTTCAAGGAGGTCCAAACTACTTAACAATAACATATCTTCACTCACAAGGATTCTCTAATTTAAAAGTTCATTGCAAATTGCAACTTGTTACCTTGGGAATAGACACATTCTAGGCCCTGAGTAGGTAAATATTTCTTTCTGTTATGGAAATTCCCACATATATGTATCTCAATTATCTAAGACATTGAATCAATCAGCATTGACGCAATCGGTTCTCGGTTGGTTCGTCTCCAGAGATCCTTGTTGCTTATTCCCTCTGATCATCTGATCTGATCTTCAGTATCGAGTGAGCGTAGGCAGTAGCTGTTGATAAATGTCTGCAGTTTGTTGGGAATGCTTTTCGTAATGCACCAAGTCTCTCAACCATCACATAGAGGCACTGACTTGGCTGACTTAGTGTTGAAAACCCGGATCTTGTTCACGCTTTATGCTGAGTGCAGTGCAGTACAGTAGATCTCCACACTAATTTCAGATTATTGAAGCCCTTTCTTGCTTTTCCGATCCAGTCGTAATTTTGAATGCAGTGCATCTTTAGGTCTCTTCAGTATGATGCAGCTTAATATTTTGCTTGATTTGGGTGGCCAGAAGCTTGATTCTGCGCCAGTTCTCGTTCTCCTAAAGACTTAGGTTGTCCTTCTTTGGAAGTTACTTGCACTAGATAGCAGTGTGAGTGGTGTGAACCACCTACATCTGCTCCCCTTCTTCATCCAATCCTGTGTCCAGTAGGCTGACTGCGTCTCCACTCTCTTCACATTGAGATCAAGTCGATCTGATTTTTAGTGTAGTGTTGCCTGGTATCTGGTGAAATCAAATCCATGTCGCTACCTTGTCAATATCCTTGTGTTTGTACACGCTGTCTCGCCTCCAATCATCAAATCATTGAAGGTGCACAAGTCTGCAAACAGTTCTCCATTCTCATTCTTCATTTCACCGACTGCTTCTCCACCCATACCATGAGTGGTTCTCTTCCTGTGTTATCCGCTCCCAGTTTCGCATTAGAACATGTCACAACACCCCACCCCCCACCCCACCCATTGCATTGGAATGGATTTCGATGTCGCCAACTGGGGTGTAGTCTTGTCCAGTATTGATTGCAGTTGTCCACAGAATTCCTCCTTCTTCTCTTCATCTGCTGCATTATTTGTAGATGCTTATTGTAGCCTAGTATTGTATGGTTGTAACTTTGCTTCCTTTCGACTTGAATCCATCTTGTTGGCATCATCCTGATGCTGGAGGAGATTAATTCCCACTGAATGAGAGAGAGAGAGTCTTCGATGTTGTTGGTAGGGACATGATGAAAGCCACTCGCGAACTCAGTGTGCTCGTTCGTGGTTGTCGTCAGGGTGACAATATCGGAGTAGATTGTTGACTGTCCAGTTGACAGTTTGGAGAGTCCACTTCCATTCGATCTACTTTCGCAGATTCCTAGCACTTCTATGCCATATCTTCTCATTTCTTTTGCAATCTGGGTAACCTTGCTAGGTTCATACATGGTGCGGACATTCCATTTCCCATGTTTGCTTTCGCTTTCATCACCAACGAGCGTCACTCTATCTCCCCGATTCCAGCAAGGAATAAGTTTATTTTTGAAATTTCCTTTGTGTTTTGAGGTTTCTTTAGAGATTAGATTTGTTTTCCGGGTAGGGTTGTTAGCCCTATGTCCAACCTTCCCTCTTTATCCAGGCTTGGGACCGGCTAGTAACTGATTAACTAGTTATCCAGGCGTGGTTTCTGGCTGACTCCTGAGATATAACACCGAAAAACAGTGCAACAGCTTAGTGTCATTTAGGCCTGATAGGTAGACTTCGTGCATTGATACATGCATCGTAACATAACTCCTATATTCATTGTTATGTCGAATTTTTGTTTTATCTGCTTCCTCTCTGTGACTTTCTACCACTGTCTACCTTATTTCTTTATCTTGCATCTTGATGTCTTTTACCTTGATGTGCTGATGAGATTTATCAACTTGGACGGTTTTCATTAATCCCAAGTCCTATTTTGATACTGACTGGCTAACTAACTAGTGCCGAACACCAGGACTCAACAGTAACATTCGTTCGTTATTTTTTAGTGACCTACCTATGTAAAAGAAGCAGGACAAAAGTGCATTGCACGCATCAGGAATGAGCTACACATTGTGTTAGGACTAATGATGCTACCCCGCTTCTCAGTCCGAAGTCGGTGCAGCTGAGTTTGAACCTGTGATCAACTGCATAGGAAATGGATGTCCAAACCAATGAGTTGGCGACATCTCTACTAACTAATTGCCAGGATTCAGTGAAGTTTTGTATTCTTTGAACGTGGAAATAGATCACATAGGACTTTTTCCCAGTTACGACACAATTTCTGTTCTTTGTAATAATCAAACGGCGACATCCATCGTATTTCCGTTGGTGACATTCCATGTAGCGAGATGATGCTTGTCTGCAGAGAAGGACCATATATTTGAGATAGATATCGATCACATGACTGACAGACTTCGTTCATACAGTATAATTATTTTTTCCTCCTCATATTGGACGAATCGTTTTTAATTAGAATAGGGCATTGAGTTTATTAGGGTGGTTAACATGACACTATTTGAATTGCATATCTCTGTTCACATTTTCAGTATATCTACATGCATCATGGATTATGTGGCTGTTTTCGCTGCTGGAATGTTAGTGATTACACTTTTAAAGGATCTGCTGAACACTGAATTAGGACTGTTTGGTTTTCAGAGTTATTGAACCATTGAGTTATTTTCATTTCTATACTTCCTTTTCTAATCTGAGTAACCCAATCCACTTGCGGAATGTTTAACACCTTTCAACTGGGATATGGAAGATAATCACCTTCATCTTTTTCACCCACCAAGACAATTAAAAGCTTAACTTTAAGCTGTCTTTAGTGTAATTTAACATTACGATTCAAGCGATTATTGTTAGGAATAAAACCTGGGATATATTTTGCGTTGAAAAGGTTCAAGTTACAATACAGAAGCTCCTCGCTTGCCATTAGCAATGCTAGTTAGCTGCACCGCCACGAGCTTTTTAAAAGGTATTTACATGATGAGTGCAAATTTGACTGACCAAAGAAGACTTTTTTTGTTGCAAACGTTTTGATGTACAACCATAAAGTTTATTGATAATTGAAGTTTCATTAGTTTAATCTACTATCTCACGTCTTCGTGTACGCCTAGGCTTAAATCATAAAGTTTGACTGGTCCTTGTAAACTCCTGAAAGCGTGTAGGTGGTTGACTCTTCTTGGCTGCTCACACAGTGGAAGATTAGTTCCTCTTAAGGTACCTGAGAAAGAAGGGTTAGTGAGTGACCGCAGAGCACAAGGGATATCTACTTGAGGTCGGTCACACATGACTTTTTTATGAGCTAGAGATCTTAGTTTGCTGCTTTTGAATCTGACTATGAACCCATATTATCGACATGAGATGCCACGGAGTAGTGCATGGTATGCTACTTTTAGAACTGACCTTTTATACCTCCCTTTCCATGGGAGGGCAGTATCTAAGTGGCACTCTTTGACGTATTCTAAAGCTTGAATATTTGCACTAACATTTATCTTCAAATAGTTTTTTTCTCACACATACCTTTCTGCTTTGATAACAGTCTTTCCTATCCACCTGTTTTTTGTATACTACTGTGAAGTGGGTCAACTTGAACCGATGCACTTGTGTGCGAGGTTCGACATTGATTTTGTCTGTCTGTCTGTCTGTCTGTCTGTCTCTATCTTAGATCAAAAAAGCCCGGTTTACCCTTGATTTGTTTGTAGTTCACCAGCTTTGCGTTTACTGACTCAAATACACATACCCATTCCAATTGGTCTTTTCGGTGTGTATGTTCATGTTTATTATCAGTACTTGTCCACGTATCTTCATATCATCATATTTAAAGATGACAAACAGGCTGAATAGAATTCAGTGAACATTTCAACTTGGTTGAGCATTATTACAGTAATCACCAAGTTGTTCTCGTATGTTTAGTCTCATCACTGACTAATTACAGACACTTTAATTTATTTAACTGGAAGAAGGATTTATTAACGAGAAAGGCCTTGATTTGATTGCATCTTGCTCATAATACGGCAATGACAGTTCTTGAAGTGATTTGAATGTATGACCTAATGAAGCAGTATTCATTTTTCATGAACAGTAAACCTGGAAGTGGTTTTCAAACTTGTGCTTTCAACGCGTACAGCATAAATCTACCTTTGGAACATCCATTCTTTATTCAGATGCATATATACTATTATTACATGATACCTGGTTGTGTAAGACCTCTGTACTGGTGCTCTAGTTATCTTTTTTTTCTAGTGATAGTCATTTGCGCGAATTTCATCCAAGTTTTTGTGGTGAATGTAGACTACCAATTGTAGGGGTTATTCTGTAGTTCACATTTCAATGGGGTAATTTTACTCATTCATTATGTTCATTAGAATCATAATATTACATTTCTTCATCCCGTTTTCTCACCTCTTCTGGTGGTATATTACACACACATCTATCTTATCTTCTTTAAAATCTTCATTTTTTTATGCTGTTGTGAAATATGACGGCTTTGACCGTAACTCAGTGGTGCCAGGTCATGTTTTATGTATATCTGTCCATTTGTTTTATCTACTAGTAATAAATAACTGTTATTTTTTTTATTATATGAACTTCGGGTTATACTTCAAGCCTACTGGAATTCGACAACTATCACTTCTGTCTGATATTTACTATTACACAGTTCTCATGAGTAAAACTGGTAGACAAACCAGACTAGTCGGTAGTTTTGAGGCTGTTAATGTTCGAATCAAAACATGGTGTAAAGTACTTTCAAACTACTTTTATCATTTCTATAAAATAAATCTACAAAAATCTCATTGAATTTTTTAATATTTTATTAGTACTGTTTAAATTTTTTTTATTTATTTAGCAAAAGTCAGAGGTAACCAGTACATATGAAGATTCTTCCACCTCGTCTATATCAGAGGATACATCATCGGATGATGATGCACATGTAACCAATAGCAGATGTAGTCATATTAACGACAATGATAATCACAGCAATAATAACATCTTAACAATAGACGCGATATCAGACAATAAAAAGCAGTCTAGTTTATTGAAATCCCAGTCTGTTAACGATGAAAAGTCGATGACAAAAGAATCAAAATCTAGTGTAGCAATCTATGTAACGACCAAAAAATCCAAATTATCATCATCATCATCATCATCGGATTTGCAAAGTGAAGATTTCTTGATGATACAACCGAAACAATCGAATTTCTCTCCACAGGTTAGTTCTAAAGTGAACATCAGTCTTTGATATAAGTATAAAACTTCGACACTTTGATAAAATGTAGATCCATATAACTTGATAAACTCAAGAAAAAAATTGTTCATCAGTTTAGAAGTTACAGTCTACAGGCCGTTACATCCAATATAAGTTAAAGTCGATTTAGTGAATTGTTTCAATAGTAGAGGTGAAAACGGCTACTAGTAAATCAAACAATCCAATTAAGGGATTGAAAAATATCGAAAAGATATTATTAATAAACAGTTAGCATCTACAGTTTACTGAGTAACTCATGGGAATACATGACAAAAGAAGTGTTGATAGTAATATGAATGGTATCAGGAACCTAAAAGAAAGGAGTTCAAGCCTCTAGTTGTGTTACCATATTACGAAGGAACATCAGAAACTTTACGTAGATTATTCACTAAGGTTTTGATTAAAGTGACATTCAGACGTACAGACTGACTCAGAGATAAAATTTGATGGACTGAGAATCCCAGTGGCCCCAACTAAACAAAATAATTAGATCTAACAAAAAAAATTCAATGACCATGAGATCAAATACATAACTGAAAGCAAACGATCAAAGTAAGACTAACGGAGCATAGAATAATACACCTCACCAAGATCAGTAATCTTGAAAAGAACTAGGCTTTTGCAATGCATGCACCGAAAAGCTACCGTTGCATAGGGTGGAACAAATAAATTGTATTAAATACTGATATAGTCAAATGGATAGAGAGAGAGAGAGAGAGAGAGATTGGTTTGTTGGTCTTTTTTATCGAATCAACACTGATTAAATACACCTTTTCCAGAGGTGTGAACAGTTCTACTATCACTAGAAACAAAGAATATAAGGTGATTAAATTACAAAATGGTATAGATCGATAGTTGTATGAGTTGATTATGAGGAGTAATTTTTGCTCGAACCGTTATCCACTTAATTATACTATATCAAATCAATAAATGTACTATGAATGTTACTCCTCTCGCTCTAAGTAATTATTTGTAAAGTTTCTAAGTATTCATTTTCTGTTGTCGTCATCAATATCAATATGGGACAATACATTGTTCCGTAACGATTTAAGTTGCCACACCTCATATTACCTACCACACTAGGCGACAATATAGTAAGATGAAAGTTGAAGAGATAAAGAAGAACGGCAGAAAGTAATGTTAAACAGTAGAAGAGAGGATACAGGAACGAGAAAATGTTGAATTCAGTATAGCGATTACGATTAAGATCATGCGTGGATACATCTGCGCCAGTGACATAGATTCTGAAACATATCACCTAGAGTCTCCAACCACTGGTTTTTGTTGTCACCAGAACCCCATCTGGCTAGTCTGCATCTCCCAATACGACTCAGACCAACAGTCAAAGATTGGATGCAATGATGCTAAATCTTAGTCTAGGCACTCTGAACCTAACCGGAATGTACTTCAGCTAACATAGCCCGACAAGGCAGACGTTGACTAGGCATGCGCAACACATGCCACAGCCACCTGAATCGATGACGGTCCACAACCCCATCAAATGACTCTCCCCTTCTCCTTAGAAATCTACATCTGACTTTAGCGTTACTCATCTTCTACTTGTCTGTGAATTGAAAGTAGTAGCATGAAGGTTGAGGAAATGCCATCACACCTTTTCAGTGCATTGGTATCTAGGAAAACAAATATTTTTTTAATATATTATATGTGAGTGGTAGAAGTGACTCTTCTTGTCTTAGCATAAGTCATGTAAATCAGTGAAGGGGGTCTACTTTCATACCCATCATGACGGGTTGTTTTCATCACTTGATGTAGTAGATGATAATAGTAATACTATATTTGTTTAGCTAATGGTTACCACCTTACTACTACACTTGATCTATCATGTGCACTGTACCGATCAAAACATGTGTTCATTTTCAATCTCACCGTTTGGAGTTGGTAAACAGGTGAACAATAATTATCGTAATGTAGGGGTTTGTATTGCTTTCTGGAATAAATTATGACTACTGAGTAGTTTATCAGTAAGTTGTTTACTACAAGCAAGTGATCTTGACACTTACACTTTGGCAGTGATACTATCTTCAAGTACGTGGGTTGTGAGAAGAGTGAAGAACACCTCTAGAATTTTACAGTCTATTTCGCTCAATCACCTCCAACCGTAAGTTTTCGGTGACTTTTGAACTATTATTAATGCCGGTTCCGCAGGTAAAATACGACTGTTTACCGATCTCTAGTTGAACTTTAGTGAACTGAGTGATATTCTACTACTTCTGTTCTAGATTTACGCAGATGACAATTAACTTTTGATTTCATGTTAACTGTAGCCACAAGAGAATTCAAGAGCTTTTCTAAACAGCCATCAGTAGTTTTTGCACAGCACTGAAGATTAGGCTTTAGGAGAGATCTTTAACTAGTCAAGGGGAGTAAACACTCTTGGTTGTATTGTGTTCTCTGAGCTGGGTTGTTTAATCGTGAAGCTTTCATCTTTTCTTTCTGGACGACATCATCAGCACCAACTTCAGTATGAAGTGAGCTGTCAGTATCTCTCCGTGATTGATTTAGTAGCTTGCTCTGATGATGTGGTCTGTGATTGGTTGTTTACTTCGATTTTTGTGTCGCTGATTGTGTAGACTTTCCTGTTAGCTGTTCCTCTGCTTCACCTCTGACTTTTCTGTCGTTTATCATTTTTCTTATTGGTTGATAGGTTGGGTCTATGTCTATGCATCTGTTGATTGCTGACTGACCTGAATGCCAAGCTTCTAGGAATTCTCTGATATTTTTTGTGTTTCCTCTGTCCAAAATTTCTACATTATCGAAACATGAAGTATGCGGATGTACACTTTTTCTAATGACATTGGCTTCAAAAATATATGTCATTACCACTTGTTTCATCGTCTACCGCGACGTGCTATGTTGGGAGAAGCTGGACTAAGTTGGACTAAGTTCCACTCTAACAACTGCTGAGATAACCAGTTACGTTTCTTTATTTTGTTGAAAACTACCTTCGCAGATGATTTACTGAAACTTGACTGGTTATTTCAACTGTTACTAAGGCGGCCTTTAAAGTCCCTCATTAATAATATGTGGCTTCTAAGTCATTCATGATTGGTTAAAGTATGAATATCATGTTGACTTCACTGAAGAGTAAACTAAGAAACACCCATAATACTTCTATGGTTCAGGTTATATAAAGTCCATTTTTGGCTAGCGACCACCCCTATTTTTGGTCAAAGGCACATGTATGTCAGTGAGAACTTCATTTGAGTAGCAGTGTGTAAAAATTAACATGATTAAATGTACTGTTACCATTATTCTGTAATTCGAATGCAACAGGGGTAAATGGGGAATTACTCGAGCAATTAGATTTCATATCTACGTAATATCACAAAAGCCCACGTATTTAGTCTAGCTTTGCAAGCTAAACAAACTTCCAAAGTCGGCAATACAACTCTTAATCCTCTTAGAAGTTTTTAAGTAGCCAGACTAATTTCTTAACTGAAGCAAGAGTTTTCTGAAAGACACTGGATGCTTCAGTCAGTGTCTACTTGATGAAATTTCTAAAAAAAACATCCTATCATTGTCCTCCTAACTAGCTTGTTTAAAATCCATAGATGTCTGTATTCAGTGGTGAAGTGATTTATGGATTTTAATATACTACAGCTTTAGTAAGGCATTGAAGTCAGAAGTAGAAATCTGTTCAAAATCGTGGTTATAGCTTTGTTAGGTTACCAATGTGATTTGGCGTATAAATGACCATTTATAGCAGTTAGATGATACCATAAGTCCGGAAACATGTAAATTTGATAACTTGATATTTTTGTAGAGCTGTAGCTCATTGGTTTAAGGAGATAACTTTCAGCCAGTGGGTCACAGATTCAAACACCGCCCCACCTAATGAGGTTTACGCAACCAAGTGGTAATCATTAGTCTTATCACACTATGTATGACTTATTGCCTACTACACGAATATGAACGAGGTGACCAACTGCATTTCGAATTCTCGACCCTAGTTTTCTTCTGTATCACCACTTTCAAAGGTTTCAAGAAATATATTTTAATTTTTTCACAAACTTAGTCAGTAGACAACTGCCGTGCTATTTCAGTATCGTACTCAAGTATCTTGAACTGACTTTTAAGTCCATTTTAACAAATGTTGAGATAATCCTTCATTTTATGTAAAACGGGCGAGTTTAAAGTCCATTCTAGCAACTACGGAAATAACTAGTCAGGTTTTTGGTATTTCTGTTAGAAAGGTAGTTTTCATAATTATTTTATGAAAATATAGCAGCCTGATTAGTTATTTCAGCAGCTGCTAAGGTGACCTTTAAAGTCACTCGGGTATCTTGTTCGAAGTTGTTCAAAAATAAATACAGGATCTATAGTGCAACTGTTTTCACTTTAAGGCTCATCAGTGAACTATTGAAGTGTATGTCGACTGCAAGTAGAGTACAGAACTTTTGTAACTCTTAAGGAGACATTTCAGTGATCCTATTTGTCAACTTTTTTAAAGGTTTTGAATGAGTTCCCGTGTTAAACAAAGTGTTTCGATGTCATAAGGTCTGCATCAGAGCATACACAATACAGTATTCATACGAATTTATCATAGTGAACCGTTTAATTTACACACTTAAGGTTGGAGGAAGGAGTTCTAAAGATGCAAAAACTTACATCATTCTCTTGATGGTGTTGTATTTTACGAGATGGATGATTTAATCATCAAACCTTCATTGACATTCTAGACAGCGTCATCAGCAACAAATTAAGAGAGAAGTGAGCTGTGGGAAATTCTAGTTTAGTAGATTTTCCTGTTGACCTTGGATATGATTGGGTGTTTCTAATGTAATGTGTTTTTCTGTGCACTTATTTTGATCGGCTATCCTGCTGACCTGAAGTCTGACCTTCTTATTACTTGTAATGTATCTTAGTTGGTAGATTGGGTTAATGTTAGTATGTCTGTTCATTACTGGCTGAACTAAGTCCTAAGTTTTTAAAATTTTACTGAC